CAGATCCTTATATAAACAGCCCCCGCACCCCACCCCAGAGGTCACTGCATCTCAGAGCTTGCCGAGAGTCCTTGTATAAACAGCCCCCGCACCCCACCCCAGAGGTGGCCGCATCTCAGTGCTGAGCAAGGGATATTTGTGCATTGTATTGAGCTCAGTATATGACTCATGTGTTTTTCATGGGTCTTGTGAATTACCAGGTTGAGATGCAGGAAAAAAAGTGATTCACTGGGAAACCTTGGAACAGCCAGGCCAACATCAAAATCTTACATTTCTGGAGATCATGGTGACTGGGGTCCGTCCTTTCAGATATTGCAGGGCAAGGGTTAATTACCAGTCATTATCTATCTATCTATCTAAATAATTCAAATGTCTGTTTTTTTTCTGTGTCCTGAAAATATTTTAAAACATGGCGCAGGAAATGAAAAATGTTGGATATTTTTTGTGATCATTAGTTTTAAATGGCCAAGATCTCTGTGACATCTTTCTAAAATCCAAAAAATACTGTGATAAGTTTTTATTAAACTTTTATTTTAAAAACAGCCTGTGACGAAGTGGGGGATTTTGTTAGTGCTTTGCTTGAATACTGTCTGTACCTCAGTTTACCTGTGTGTTGTGTGTGTAACGAGGTGGTGGGAGAGGGGGGTTGTGGTTGCAGAGGGCCAGGTGTGACCTCGCCTAACAGCCCGGACCCTGGACATCGACCTGGACACTTTAGAACTTAGCAACTGATGAGCCGGAGGCCCAGCCCACCTTGGGAGTCAGATGGTTCTAGCCAGTGGGAGGACAAAGGCAGCCAGTTCTGGCCAGTCGGGGAACAAAAGATGGAAGAGGGGGGCCTTGGGTGACCTGTTTGCCCAGGAACAAAGACAAAGGGTGGAGGCGGGGCGGGTAGGGGAGCTCGGATGGAAGGAGGTCGCTTCTGGACTGGGGACAAAGAGGGGCCTGAGCTACCTGGATGAGGTCAGACCCAGCTGGACGGTGCTGAGACTGGCCAGGCCCGAGGGCTCTGAGAACTGCCTGTGCTGGGTTCAGACATTCAATAAACCTCCTTTGTTACGCTGGCTGAGGGTAGAAATCGGGGGGGCATTACTTCCTCTGGGGGTGGAGGCCATGGGGTGCAGAGCGAGGAGACTCCCTGAGGGGGCTGACGGTGAGACACAGGCAGGCTTAAGGCTCGGGGAGGTGCAATCCCAGGAGGTGCTGGAGCCCAAGTCTTAACATCCCAGAGTGTGTGTGACCCCGAGAAGGGCTGTCACACTGAAGGAGGGGTCCTCCCAGGGACCATACGGAGCCAAGAGAGCCCAGGGCCTGTGAGTCTGTGACACAACCCAGATCTGGTATAATAGGTTTAATACAAGAAATAAAATTTCCATCACTATATAAAATATATTCTAAAATAATATTCAATGCATGTATATATCCAGTGTATGTGTGTGTGCACTATCTATATGTACTCTCTCTCTCTCTCTCTCTCTCATATATATATGTGTGTGTACAGTACAAACCCATTTACATGTGACCCATTTAACACGCGGTAGCGCCGTGCCTCCCAGTGCCACCTATTTAACACACAGACTCGTTAACAGGCAGCACAGGAACTTGCTATGTAGCGCTACAGATTTGCTCACTACCTCACTGACATAGAAAACAACAGAAAGTGTGGTGTGGAAACGTGTTGTACGTCTTTACCAATATTAAACGTTTCACGCACACTTAGTCATTGTCACGCTAGAGGGCAGAGGGCAAGCGTCAGCGTTCCTGCACTGTAGAAGAAAAGCTAGCTGCAATAGTTTGAGTAAATAGCGGAGAAACCCAGGCCAAAGTTTCAAAAGATATTGGGATTGTCTAATCTACTCTCCGAGGATGGCTATAACAGAATCTAAACTGAATGGCTTTGTACAAAATATGGTTTCTGCCTCGGGGCTTAAGGGAAAACATGTGCGCTATTCAGCAAAACCCACAATAGACAAAGCCATGCGCATGTGGTTTGCTCAGGAAAGGCTGAAAGGAATGCCGCTAAGTGGGCCAATTCTTCAAGCCCAAGTGACAAAATTTGGAAATTTAACAGCGGATGAATCATTCCAAGCCAGCAAGGGGTTTATAAGTGATTTTAAAAGGCGTAATGGCCTAGCACAGGTATCGATTTCTTTTGGCATGTGCTAATTACAATCCTGCATCTCCAGTGGAGTATCTCTTGATTCCTGATCACAATTGCTCTTCCTAATTTGAAAAACATATGGAAATGAAAAGTGAGTTTTATTCCTATTTGCAAGTTTACAGTTTCTGTGATTCTCAGACATGTCTAGAAACCAAGGATTGTGCTGCGTTTGGACCAATCCAAGCACATAGTAGGTGCTACTGTAACACAAAGACAAACACAATCGATTCAGCATTTCTCAAAGACTGAACACTTGCTTTCAGGCTAAGATCTGGCATTGTGGAAACTGCATTGTCTTGCAGGGATCAGTAACTAGTGTCACCTGGTCTGCTCTGTTCTCACAGGGGTTGTCAAACTTCATCACACCATAACCCCCTTCTGACAACAAAAAGTACTACACAACCCCGGGAGGGGGGATCAAAGTCTGAGACCACCAGAACCCTGGGCAGTGAGGCTTGGGCTTTGGTCCTGGGCTACAGCAAGTCTGAGCCAGCCTTGGTGACCTCATTAAAATGGGGTTGTGACCCACTTTGAGGTCCTGATCCACAATTGGAGAGCCACTGCTCTAGAGGGTATCGTACTGCGCTCGTCACCGGGGTATCTGGACGCCTTGGGGTCATTACAGAAAAAACAAAGTAATCCAGGACCGGCCTTAGCCACGGGCAGACGGGGCTGGGATGGGTTCGGTCACAGAGACCCCCTTGGGACTGTCAACTGATGTACTGACACTACCTTAGAGCCCATTTTCCCTGCCAGCTTGGGACGTCAGAAACCTACCTTGTTGAGCCAGACACGCTAACCTGCTGCAAAACAGACTCAGGGTCTGAACCACGCCCCCAAAGCTGCAGAGTTAAATGAAAATGGCTTAGCACGTGCTCCTGTCTCCAGCACCCAGACACCCAGCTCCCAATGCGGTCCAAACCCCAAATAAATCCATTTTACTCTGTATAAAGCTTATAAAGGGTAAACTCATCAATTGCCTGCCTGCTATAACACTGATAGAGATATATGCACAGCTGTTTGCTCCCCCAGGTATTAATCACTTACTCTGGGTTAATTAATAAACAAAAATGATTTTATTAAGTAAAAAAGTAGGATTTAAGTGGTTTGAAGTAATAACAGATAGAAAAAGCAAGTTATCAAGTAAAATAAAACAAAACACACAAGTTTAAGGCTAATACATCAAGAAACTGAATACAGGTAAATTTCACCCTCAGAGATGTTCCAATAAGATTCTCTCACAGACTAGACTCCTTCCTAGGGCAAAAATCTGTCTTGGGATTGGTCCTGCTTTGAGCAGAGGGTTGGACTAGATAACCTCCTGAGGTCCCTTCCACCCCTGATATTCTATGATTACCCCTTACTCCTGTTTTGGGGGAGGCATAGCTCAGTTGTTTGAGAATTGTCCTGCTAAATCCAGGATTGTGAGTTCAATTCCTTGAGGGAGCCATTTAGTGATCTGGGGCAAAAAAAAAAAGTTGGGGATTGGTCCTGCTTTGAGCAGGGGGTTGGACTAGATGACCTCCTGAGATCTCTTCCAACCCTGATAATCTATGATTCTAAGATGGATTCCAGTTCAGGTGATATGATAATCACATGTCCTGTGAGCCCCCCTCCATTCCTCCAGGACCGGCCTGCAGGTATGCAGTGGAGACTTGCAGGTGAACAGAGCCGTCTAGAGTCAATTGTCCTAGTCAATGGGAGCCATGAAGATTCCAAACCACCATTAATGGCCCACACTTTGCATAATTACAATAGGGCCTTAGAGTTAAGCTACATATTCCTAGATTCAGGAACATGAATGATGCATTTGTACAAATAGAAGGAACACACTTAGTAGATTATAAGCTTTGTAATGATACCTTACAAGAGACCTTTTGCATAAAGCATATTCCAGTTACATTATATTCACACGTATACACATATTTTTATAACGCATGATGGAGTGCAACGTCACAGGGGTGCCTCCGGAGCAGGGGTGCCCCTCCCCCTGCTGGCCTCTGCAGCCCTGTGGCTCCTGCCCCCTGCCTCGGAGCTGCCCCTGGCCAGCTGCTCCTGGGAGCTTCCTGTCTGCTGTAAGGAGCAGGGGGAGGGGCTCTGATATCAGGCTGTCCCCTGTCCCCCCATGTACCCCATCTCCGCAGAGCAGGTGGGGTGGGGGGACAGGGCTCAGCGAGAGAGGGACGGTGCTACTGGCGGCTGCTGCTATGTCTGAAGGAGCTTTAACATGGCTTTAATAGGCATATGTATATATTTTTTCTTTCTTTATATAACAATTAAATACAGAGCTCCTGTCAGCTAATCCCTAAGTTATTATCTGCAAAGCCCCAAGAGTTTTCAGCAAAGACCTTAAGTAGTCCCTGGAATAATGGTTAAAGTTTCCTCCCCCGACCCCAAATCTGAACTGGTGCCCCCGGGTGAGCCAGGAGTGGCCAGGGGGCTGCAGGAGGCCGTGGGCTCTGGTGAGATGCAGCCCACGTGTGACAGCGCGAAGCCCTGAGCCACATGCCGAGCATCAGGCACCACAAGCCCCAGTAGCAGCGTAGGAGGGTGGCAATACCCCATGTGCCAGGCCCCCCCGACTTCTGCGCTGCTGCTGGCGGTGGCGTTGCCCGGCCAGCCCCCGCCAGTATCAGACCACCCTGCCGGGGCTTAATTTGAGCCACAGCTGAGCTCTGGCATCTCTTTCAATACAAATTAAACAACGGGGGAGGCAACGGGGCCAATTGGCCTCACCCGGGGTGGCAGTCCCCCCAGCTGAGGTCTCATTCTCTGTTTCCTCTGTTCTGCGAGATTCTAATTCCTTTTCGGCTCTTGAGTGGCTGGGGAACAACCCAATCTACATGCTGGACTCAGACACCGTGGATTCCCTGGCCCCTGGCCTGTCCTTCCTTCTGTTTGAGAGAGAAAGAGAGAGAGAGAGATTGATTCTCGGGTATGTAAGTGGCTGACAGTTGGAATAGATAGAGAGATAGATAGATGTATGGGTGAGTGGATGGGATGGTAGGTGAGTAGGTAGATGGGTGGGTGAGTAGGTAGCTAGGCCTGGTGGTAGGTGGGTAGATTGGTACATAGGTGGGTGGTTAGGTAGTTAGTTGTGTAGGTAGATAGATAGGAGGTATGTGGGTATGTAGGTTGGTAGATCAGTAGGTGGTTGGTCAGTGGGTAGGTCAGTGGGTGGTTGGGTCAGTGGGTTGGTAGGGGTGGTAGGTAGATGGCTGGGTGAATGGGTACAGAGGTAGGTGGGTGGTTGGTTGGTTGGTTGAGTAGGATGGTACGTTCGGAGGTAGTTAGCTTGTAGGGTGGTAGGTGGATTGATTGATGGGTAGGATGTTTGGTGGGTAGGTCAGTGGGTGGGTCGGGCACCATGGATTCCCGGGCTCCCCACCGGTCCTTCCTTCTGCTGCCACGACAGCAGCAGGGTCTCCTGTGAGAGAGAGATCCTGGGGTATTTTATAGCTGTCAGTCTGGATAGATAGATAGATAGATAGATAGATAGATAGATAGATAGATAGATAGACAGGTGGGTTGGTGTATGGGGATGAATAGATCCATAGATGGGTTGGTAGGTACATAGTTGGGCGGGTGGGTGGATAGATGGTAGGTAGGTGGGTAGATTGGTGGGTAGGTATATGGGTAGGTGAGTAGATGGGTCCGTGGGCAGGTTGTGGGTGGGTCGGTAGCTGAGTTACCGTCTGTAATAGAGCAGGGTGAGGTAATAGGCCATGAAGAATCCAGTCGCCATGAAGACGAGTTTGCAGCTGATTTCGATAAATGCCCGAGTGAGCCCACCTGATGGAGTTAGAAGAAGTCGAGAGTCTGGCATAGATCCCTGCAAACCCTGCCCCGAGCCAGCCAGCCCCCCATCCCCACTCCTCTTCCAGCTCAGGGTGCTGATGGCCTCATGCCCCTGGGCCCAGGAGCTGACCTGCAGGCCCACCCCCTCCCCCCCGTGAGCCCTTCACAGCCAGGGGCTCCCCGTCCACTTGCCACTGGAGCCAGGGCAGGTGGTGGGAGCACAGGGAGGAACTGCAGCTGATACTGGGCCCCTGGTGCTGGCAGAATGAGTTCAGCCCGGTCCCAGGCCGGGGGCTGTCTGGGGAGCACAGGAGACACAGCGTCAAATGAATAGTCAGAGAGATAAATCCTTGGACAGGGAGTCCCCAGGTCAATCCCACTCACACCCAGTGGCAGGGAGTCCCACAGGTTAACCCCACTCGCACCCAGTGTCAGGGAATCTCATGAGTTAACCCCTCTCACACCCGTGGCAGGGAGTTCCATGGGTTAACCTCACTAACACTCAACGAGCAGCTGGAACGTCCCCTGGGCAGAGCTCTCCTCTCTCTGGGCCCAGCACACGTACAGCAGCCCCTCCTCAGCTGTCACGTTGGGCAGCTCCAGTCAGAGCTGATTCTGCCCCATGGGGCGGGCACCGTTGAAAGCTCGGCCTCCCGTCACCCAGCCCAATGCAATGCGGGGACTGCTCGTGACAGAGCAGAGGAACCGCAGGGAATCACACGCTTGGGCCGTGAGCAGTGAGCCTCTCCCCCCAGCACAGTGCCCCCCACAGACTCTCCACCCCACTCCCAGCAGCACAGCACGCCCCACTGATGCCCTGCCCTGATTGGCACAGCGCCCCCTAGTGCCTTACACTGCACGTGCACACGCAGGGCCCGGCTGGCCGACCCATAGGAATTCTTTGCCCAGCACCGATACTCCCCAGCGTCCCCTCTGCTGAGATTCAGCAGCCCCAGGCGCCCGGCCCCTCCCTGGCTGGAGCTCTGGGACTCATTCCCCTTGGCCCAGCTCAGGGTGACCTTGGCTCTGCTCCCAGCCTCACAGCTCAGACTCAGGGAGTCGCCCTCCTGGGTCTCCAGAGACACAATGTCGTGCTCAGCCTTCAATGGGGCCGGGATTGGAGGAGACGAGCAGGCAGGTTTCGCCCCCACAGAGATCCTCTGACAAGGAAGTGAGATTCAGCCACCTCTGGGGTGGGAAACGGGGGCTGTTTACATGAGGAGCCCTCGCCCAGTGTGGAGACATAGCCAGCTCTGGGGTCAGAGCACAATCTCGGTGACTTTTCACGGCAGCAGGTCCCTGACCCACCTCATCCCCACTGCCCAGCGCCGCCTTAATGCCACCCCAGGGCTGGACACAGAGGGAACTGAGCCCGCTCCTCCTAACACCCTCCCTACAGTCCTCTGGCTGCCTCGATCTCACCGGGCACGGACCAGCCTGGCCTGACTGAGCCTGGCGCCTGGCCCTGAGCACGGGCAGAGTGTGACTAGGAGGCCCTTGCTGATTCCTGGGGCTCGCAGTGCGGCCTCTCACCAAGGTGTCCATCCGTCATCAGGTTCCCAGTGGAGTTGGGGGGCGCGGTTGGGTCTGTAACACAAACCGGACAGGGGGGTCAGGGAGGCTGGACAGCACCGATGGCTATACAGGCACCCCTCACCCAGCGTGGGGACGTAGCCAACTTTGAGGTGGGTATACAATCTCGATACATTTCCATGGCAGCAGGTCTCCGTTGCACAGATCGGTCCCTAACCCATCTCCTCCCCACAGCTCAGCACCCCCTAGTGCCGCCCCACGGGCTGGAGAGAGAGGGAACCGGGCCCGATCCTACCACCACCCTCCCTACAGCCCTGAAGCTTCCTCGGGCTCTCCCCTCTGGGCATAGACTAGTCTGGCCACGGGCGACAAATGAACTGCCAGCTCAGGGAGGCTAGCCCCTGGCACAGCCCCTTCTGCTT